CGGTGTTTTCAGACGGGAAGAGTCAAGGTAGCATGTTGAAAGTTGTACATCATATGATGTGATAGACTGACTCAAGCCCGCAGGTCACGTGACATCTTCTCGACTCAAAGGCAGATCGGCATAGTTTGTTGATCACTGATCAACGACGCCATTGCAACACATCCTCGGATATGACTACCTAACTCTCGGTAATCTGAACTACATAGATCTTCAAAGGTAGCGCTTGTTTCTTCGTCGGTCCCTGCCATCTTGTCAACCTACATATTCTGTTTCAGCTGACAACACAACGCGTCTTTTACCTCGGCACTGCCTTGGACACAATTCGACTAGAGATTACACACTTGTTGAGCCTCTGGTAGCGACAAACTAAAGCAACACGATGACCGCCATATTCTGACCAGCCGACACACTCGTGGTTGCGTTTCTCACGGTCGTCCGAAAACGATATTGCGCCATTCGAATTGGCAAGCTTGAAGTCCAATAACATTGCTGGAATGACACCTCGGCATGACAATTTCAAGACTCCCTCAACCCTACTCCAATCCGAGAGCGACAGGACTGTCGGTAACATCACTAGCACTTGGGACGTTCACAAGATTCTCCAAGCACACAAACAGGGCATGTTCCGTCGGAGTACCCGCTGGTTCGAAGATACTTTCAGGCATACGTCGACTAAAGTCGTATCGGAAGCTTCATCCTTTGCAGCGTGACAGTTGCGTCGCGGAAGAAGGGCCGGTTAGGCAAATGTCCAAAGTGCGATCATGGAACTTTCCGCACTCTGCGCACCTCAAACTCATTAAACCAACATAACAGGACCTGGACGCCCAAGACATCTAGAACTCGAATTCCTGGATGTACCTATACGCAAAACTGACCATAACTTGTGTGCAGTTGGGCACAATAAGGGCTCATGCAATGATTGTTGATCTTGAACTGAGTTGCGTCGAACCGCATGTATTGTGGAACCTTTCCGCACATGATACATCAATATCTCGATATTCGCACCTTGGACCAGCGGAAGATGCCCTGCCAATTCCAGATGGCACTGGATTTCGGCAAGTTGCTCAGCTGCAGGCCTTGGTTTGAGAGTCTGGGCCCACGCCACGTGCTCGTAGCGCACAGCGGACTTCCCGCTAAGTGTTTGCCCAGGCCCCAAAACTTCACTACGTATCCAATGCATCACAGCCACCTCCAGATTCCTACCATATTGATGGCTATGCACGCGGGGTATAGGCTCGGCGTGACTGTCGACAACGTGTTGACATGCGCCATCACGCTCTACCGGAGTGAACGCCGCCATACTGTCGGGCCCAGACAGCACTATCGCGGGTGTTTTTCTGCTTGAGGCTGCTTGAGGCTCCTTGGTATTCATACTGCTAACCGCTGTGGTAGGTCGTCTCCGGAGCTATGGGCTCAAGACTCCGTACCATGGTGAAATCGATAGGTAGTAGGCGAGATAGCTTAGAGAGCTTGTCAGTATCGGATGCAGACTGCTAAGGTTTGACGAGTCTGGGGTATGGTGAAGGCGACGCCGCAAGAATCTGGGGAAGGCGAGCCTATTAGTCTGGGGAAGCAGAAGTGTATATGAAGTCGAGTATCCGGCAGCTGCAAGTAGGTCCTCCTTCATCCTTCTCAATCAGAAAGTCATCTCTCTACCTCTTTTCTTTTTTCCACCTCGTGGGTTCCATCATCCCTCAATTGAGGTCCACATCTAGCCCCCTTTACCGGGTCTCAGAGGACTCCAACATCAGCCATGGCGTCTTTCGCTGAAGAGAAGGGTAACGTCACCACCTTGGAACGCATTGAGTCCGACACAACCGCCAGCGATGCCGCCATTACTCGCTTTACACCTGAGGAGCAGAAGAAGATCGTCCGCAAGGTTGATCTACGACTCATCCCAACACTCGGATGCATGTACTGTGTCTCGCTCATGGATCGGACCAACCTTGGTGTCGCCATGGTCGCAGGCATGGGTGTCGATTTGAAGCTTACTGGCGAGAGATACAGCATCATCGTCTTGCTCTTCTTCATCACTTACGTCGCACTCCAGCCACCGGCTACAGTTGTGCTAAGGAAGTTGGGTCCAAGACTCTTCCTCCCTGCTATCGTCATCATCTGGGGAGCAGTAATGATCGGCTTTGGTTTCGTCAAGGAATGGCACACACTGATCCCTCTTCGCCTCCTTCTCGGTATCTTTGAAGCCGGTTTTTTCCCAGGTTCTGCATACCTCCTCTCATGCTGGTACAAGCGATTCGAGCTCCAGAAGCGCAACACTGTCTTCTTCCTCATTGGCATGCTGTCTTCTGCCTTCTCAGGTATTCTCGGCTACCTCTTCTCTCTGCTCAGCGGCCACGGCGTCCAAGCAGCATACTGGCTTGGTCCGCACTACGGACCCACCAAGAAGGCACCCCTTACACCTGTCAGCTACGGACCAGGTCTCTCCGGATGGCGATGGATCTTCATTATGCAGGGCGTCATCACTGTATTGATTGGCATTGTAGGATGGTACTTCATCGTCGACTTCCCCGAACTGGCTGCCAAGCCCAGCAAGACCCAGAAGAAGTTCCTTAACCAGGATGAGGTTGACTTCATCGTTGCACGCATCGAAGAAGACCGCCACGACGTCGTCGCTGAGGCGTTCAACCTCAAGAGCTATCTTGCTGGAGCCATGGATCTCAAGGTCTGGGGCTTCGCATTCATCTTCATGTTCACGACGACTATCACCTACGCCATCGCCTACTTCCTTCCCATAATCCTGAAAGACGGTATGGGTTTCAGTCCCGCTGCCGCTAACTGTCTTATCGCACCACCTTACGTCTTCGCCGGTTTTGTCATGCTTGGTTTCGCCTGGGCAGGAGACAAGTACCACATTCGCAGTCCATGGGTCATCGCCAACGGTGTCCTCGCTCTCATCGGCCTACCCATGATCGGTTTCAGTACCAATGTAGGCGTCCGATACTTCGGTAAGTTCACCTCCCCCCAACAGTCCTTCTCGTTCACATCCATTAACATCTCTGATCAGGTGTCTTCCTCGCTACCGCCGCTGCAAACGCAAACGTTCCCTGCATCCTCACCTGGCAAGCAAACAACATCCGTGGACAATGGAAGCGTGCTCTCTGCAGCGCTACTCTGGTCGGTGCAGGAGGCGTTGGTGGTATCATTGGCGGCACTGTCTTCAGGACTCAAGACGCACCGTCCTATGTACCTGGTATTGTTGCGTGCATGATTGCTTCGGGCATGATTATCATCATCTCGCTGTTGCTGAACTTGAAGTTCTGGATGGCCAACAAGCGGGCTGCGAACGGCGGCAAGATTATCGAGGGGCTTGAGGGATTCAGATATACCTTGTAGACGGGTGTCTACTGATGATGAGAATGAGTAATGAATAATTATGTGCTTACTTCACCTTGATCTTTTTGACCACCTCATTCGGGAGAATCCACAGCGATGAACAACAAATGTCAGATGAAACCGTCGCTGACGAATCTAGGTATCGGGATAAAGTTTATGGCGCTCCGAGGAGATGACGCGTTGAGACGTTTGACGCGCTCGCAACACTGAGAAAAACTTCATCTTTCTTTTCCCTAGGTCGAGACAGCACTATGTCTGCCCCGCGGAACAATCCCCATCATGAGATGCCCCTGAGCCAAGTAAATTGTCTCCAAGTTGAGACCCAATGTTCTGGGTCTTGGGTGAGCGATCCACATATACGTTGCATGGAAGCCTTGCCCACCCACGCGCACATCAGCGCGCGTCACGACCACTGTTCGTCCGCGAAGTGTACCCGACGGTCTTCGGCCCTACGTCTTGAAATCTCAGCCGCACATACCAGATGAGGACTGTATATCTTATCGCGACAAAGCAAACTCGCTATCCTGACTCCCATCCCGAAAGCCACACCCAGACTCATTGGAGGAACAATTCTTTGCCCTTGTCCGGACGAGTGCGAGAGCGAGCTGAATAACCGCCAACCGCCCCTGGAGTTGTTATCACATCTACCGAAAGCCAGGAACTGAGTTACCAAGCTTTTGGCGCGCCACTTTTTCGCCGCTAATCGTAGAGCTTAGCCCACTTGGTCCCTGATCCGACGCCCAGAACACTGGATGGACCGACCCAACCCCAAAACGCTGGTTCTTCGCGCTTATCTAGGAAATGCTGGATCATTTTACGATGACCTCGTGGTCTGGCATGGGTACTTGGCTACTTCTCCAGAAAGATTTTCATATCCACGGCACCCTGGTTCTTAGAGCTCCAGAGGCCGATGCTGGAGTGGGTCGTACAACACACCACCTACACAATCGACGCTAGGATGACACCTGCACTCCCGACACCAATCCTGTCTGCTCTTGAGCACCGCCTCGGCTCATCTCTTGAGTCTCGCCTTCAACATCGTCAGATGTGCGGCCCTGTCAGCATGGTGAAATTGGCCGAACCGTCACCGAACGCAAGCCACTTCGCGCTAGCACGCGTGGAAATTCGTTAAGCAACGGGCGACACTTCTAAGATTATTCCTGAACGCCATGCAGGAACGCGCCTAGCCTACCACAGTTGAAATGCCATCCTGCTTTCGTTCCTGCATTCTATACCCGTTAGCAGACGCCGTTCCAATCTAAAGTCGGCATCATCAATATTTACACAGCAACTAGGCTTCAATCTTCGGAAAATTAGCAGCGATGGTCTGTCGATCGACACGGCTTGCCACCGTGAGCATCTCATACTGCAGTGGATATCGATTGTGGCTTTCCTCCCTGGTATCTTTGGAGAGACCCACCGGCTATCTACCCTGTCCGATATACGACTCGGGCGACAAGCGTAGAAAACGGATTTACCGAAGTGTCAGAATGTAAACGGGATCCAGACCACGTTGTCGTGGTATACCCGATTTGGAGTCAGCCCCGTGAACCCATGGTGAGGATCTTGAGCTTAAGTATCGTCAACTACCATGCACTTCCAATCTTCATCGATCGCTTCCCGTCTTCGTCGGTTGATCGTCATTCGCTATGCGTTCATTCGCTGTTGCTGCCCTGTTTGGGTTTGCAGCTGCTCAGAGTAGTGCCTTGAATGCCACTTTGAGTACCACGCGTCTTTCTTCTGCGTCTTCAACCCCCCTCACGACTACATCGGCTACTGCTTCAGGTTCGAAATCATGCATCACTGTCGCTACGGATGGATCTGGAGATTATACCGCCATCAATGTAGCTGTTAAAGCAGCTCAGGACAGCGGCATCGCCACCGTCTCCGTTCTGCCCGGTACCTACTCCGAGGCCGTCACTGTTCAAGGGCAAGCTACTGTAACGATCGCCGGGCCCACACCCACAGGTGCTGATGATTGGTCTGAGAACAAGGTTACTATCGCTGCCACTGACACTCCTTTCAAGATCGGCACCGACAAGATCAAAGGCGTCACTGTCCGTAACATCAACATCGTTAACTCTGCCGCGGTATCTGCAGGAACCAATGCAGTTGTTCTCAACCTCAGGGGAGGCAATGTCGCTTTCTACGGTTGCTCAGTCGTTTCGCCTGGTGGCACTGCCATCTCTGCCTCCTATGGAACCGCCTTCTTCGCCAATTCATACATTGAGGGCTCGAACTATCTCTTCTACAACTACCCAACCATCTACGTCTACAAATCTACAGTCGTGCCACTTAGTTCGAGTGCCCTCATCGTATACAACAAGGGTGGACAGCCTACTGGTGGCGACTTCGCCAACTCTACGGTTGTCTTCGATTCGAGCTCCATCCAGCAGAAATCTGGATACACCAACAACAATGTGTGGCTCGCAGCTCCTAACGGTCCCGGTGCTGTGACGATTTACAGAAACACCGCTATAGGAAGCTTGGTCGCTCCTGCTGGTATTCACCCCTCGGCAGCTACTACTCCATCCTTCTTCGGCGAATTTGCTACAACTGGTGCGGGGTCTTACAGCAAGAATGCTGCTTCTCGTCCAAACTACGATGTTCCCCTCTCGGCTGAACAGGTCTCTCAGTTCACCATCGACAAGGTCTTTGGTAGCGCATTCTACCCTTACGCTAGCTCTTCGCTCACATGGATTGACCAAGATGTTGTGGCATCCTTGAAAGCATCAGACGATGCCCAGCTTGCATCCGCTTCGTCTGTGGCGTCGGTCGCTTCGTCTACCGTGTCCTCATCAGCATCATCGTCGGCGTCGTTGTCCATCTCCGCCATCTCCAGCCTCCTTTCGAACGCTACTGCTACCGCATCAATGACATCTAGCGCAACTCCAGCAGCATCGACTTGCTCCATCACAGCAGCGTCTCCGACACTTATAGTTTCTAAGACGCCAGGACCCTGCGAGTTCTCGAACGTTACATCTGCTGTCAATGCTTTGCCTAATGACGGTAATCCATACACCATTAAGATTGGTGCGGGTACATACGTCGAGCAGCTTTCGATCACCCGCAAGGGAAAGGTCACCCTCCGAGGCTTCACCGATTTCACGAACGATTATACACAGAACAAGGTTCGCATTGAGTTTTCCCGTGGTGAACTCACCAGTGCTGGAAAGAACGAGCAAACACCTGTCATATTTTCCAAGCCTAGTGGCGATTCTGGCATGGCTCTCTACAACATCGATTTTGTCAACACGTACCCGCAGACCACCAACACCGCTGCGCTAGCTGCGGACTTCTACGGCGCTAATATCGCCGCGTATGGCTGTTCATTCGTCGGTTTCCAGGATACGCTACTCGCCAACAAGGGTACCCAAGTTTTCAGCAACTGCTACGTTGAGGGAAGTGTCGATTTCATCTGGGGGTTTTCTACTGCGTACTTCCATCAGTGCATGATCGTCAGTAACACACCTGGTGCTTACGTTGCTGCAAACTCCAGGGCTACTGCAGATGCTCCTGGTGGCTACGTGTTCGATTCCTCTGTCATCACCTACAGTTCTACCTATGGCAACAACTTTGGATTGTCCTATCTCGGCAGACCCTACAGCCAGTTTTCCATCGCCGTCTACATGAACTCGTACATTGATAAGCACATATCCGCCGCTGGATGGGCCGTATGGCAGACAAACAACCCTCAGACTTCTGGAGTCACATTCGGCGAATACAACAACACTGGACCTGGTAGTTGGTCGGATACTACTCAGCGCGCCAGCTTTGCGACCAAGTTGACAGCATCTCAAGCGGCAAAGTACGAGCTTGCTGCATGGATCGGTAGCACGGCGTGGCTGGATATGGATGCGTACAATGCGATCCCTTCGTACAGCCTTACGAGTCCTACGGCTACCTCGCCATCGCCATCTCCGTCACCCTCGGCTAATGGTACCGTATCCGGGCCAACAACTACTGCCACCATCAATGCTCATCCTGACAGCGGTACCCTGCCACCACTGGGTGCTGTGATCGTCTCTAAAGATGGTAGTAATAACGCTGCGTACACGAACATCACTGCAGCTCTTGCCTCGCTCCCTCAAGATAAGACCAATCAGACCATCTTCATATACCCTGGTACCTACAACGAGCAGATCCCGTCTGTCAACCGCCCTGGTGCTGTTAGGATCATTGGATATACTACTGGCAATCCTGGCCAAGCTTACAAGGACAATCAAGTTACGATCTCTTTTGCTCGTGGTCTTTCTGTGTCGCCGCTACCTGTAGGCCACTCCAACGCGGAGACTGCTGTATTTGCCACAGCGTCAAGCCGGATCAGCATGTACAACGTCAACATGATCAACACGGATAACCTTGATGGCTCCGAGCCTTCATACGTCACGCTCGCGGGCTCGATCTACGGAAACGACATCGCCTTCTACGCCTGTTCATTTGATGGCTGGCAAGACACTCTCCTGAACGGTGCGACAGCTGGCTACCAGTACTACGAGTCGTGCTATATTGGTGGTGCCATTGACTTCATCTGGGGCTACTCTAAAGCATACTTCAAGGGATGCACGATTGGAGCTAAGCGCAAATCGTCGGCGATTACGGCGCATAGCAGGAAATCGAGCACCGAAATAGGTGGCTACATCTTTGACCAATGCTTGTTCACTGCAGCTCCCAACGCAGTTGACGACCTTACGAACAAGGTCTACCTCGGCCGACCTTACTCCGCGTACGCTCTTGTTGTTGTCAAGAATTCCTACATCGACGCTACCATCATTCCTGCCGCATGGAAGATCTGGTCTGCAACCGACCCACGTACCGATCACATCACCTTCGCCGAATTCAACAACTCTGGTCCCTCAAACTGGGAGCAAAATGCTGCTGCTCGTGAGTCGTTTGGTTACGCTACGTTGCTTACTTCAGACACCTACTCCTTGTCATCGGTGATGGACTCAACCGAATGGATCGACATGACTTACTTCAACTCCATTGTCACCCCGCAGCCTTCAGCGCCCGTTGTCATTCCTCCAGGACCCATCAATGTCAACGGCACCTCGGTTTTCAATGGCACGACCCCGCCAGCTGACGCCCTTATCGTTTCTAAGACGCCTATTGATGGTGTTGTTACCTACGACACTATTCAGGGTGCTCTCAACGCAGCGCCGACCACGAGCAAGACGAATGCTACCATCTTCATCTACCCCGGTGTTTACGAGGAGCAGCTTATCATTGCAAAGTCTGGTCATACCATCTTCCGCGGATACTCGGATGCGACCGATGACTACTCCAAGAATCAGGTCACTATCCAGTTCAGCCGCGGCATCGATACACAAGGTACTTCTGGTAGCAACACTGACGGAGCGACTGTCTACGCCAAGGGCAACTACTTCCATGGTTTCAACATCAACTTCCGTAACAACAATGGCACGCAGCAGAACATTGCCTCGCTTGGTTTTGCTGTCCAAAGTAGCAAGTTTGCTGCGCTGTATGGATGTCAGATCTACGGTAACCAAGACACCCTCAGTGTCTCTGGTAACCTCTTCACATTCAAGACGTACATTGAGGGTAACGTCGACTTCATCTATGGCTCTGGATCCGCGTACTTCTTGGACTCAACCATCGCCTCTAACGAGGATGGGATCAGCATCACGGCCCACAAGCGTACCACCAACACGACGGCTGCTGGTTTCGTGTTTGATCAATCGAGGATTGTACCAGCTCCTGGTTCTGGGTCTTTCAGCAGCGTCAGCCTCGGCCGCCCATGGAATAGCTTTTCGCGCGTTGCTTATGTCGCATGTTACCTTGACGCCATGATCAGCCCTGCTGGGTGGGCGCAATGGTCAAAGAGCAACCCCCAGACGGACGGCGTCACTTACGGAGAATACCATAACACCGGTCCCGGTTCCGCAATCTGTAAGCGTGCCAGCTTCAGCCAGCAGCTTTCAGACACCGATGTCGCTCAGTTTCAACTTGCGTCGTTCTTCCCATCGACTGCCTTCATCGATTTCCGATACGTTGATACCCAGCCTTTCACGGTTGGAATGGGCTCGCCGCAAGTCTGTAGCACTGCATCTTCGTCTCTCGTCTCTTCTTCTACCGCATCTTCTACTGCGTCGCTGTCGACTATCAGTCTCACATCTTCAAGTAGCTTACCGATCGTCACTGCGTACACCACAACTACGGTGATCGCAAAGCTCACCGCAAGCGCGGTTGTTACCGCCCCTGAGGTCACCTCGACTACTGTCGTGAAGAGCACAGAAACTCTCTCGATCAGTGCTATCGATGTGCTGAAGACTAGCACGTTGAAGGTGACTGCCACTACTTCCATCGTGTCTCCTGACGTTACCTCTACTTCTACATCGGTAGTAACTGAAGACGTTGGTCTAACAATCACACCGGAGCCTGTCACCAAGACTAGTGTTATCAAGGGTACCGTGACCGAAGCTGGAGTAACTACCAAGGGAGCCACAACTTCAACAGTCAAGGGTACTACAACTGTCACTGTCCTGTACACGTCCTCACCCAAGCCGACGTCAGTCACTATCAGCCAGGGATCCACGGTCTTTATCACAAGCTCCAAGACCCAGAAGGCGGCCTCCACGACCATCAAGACTACCATCTCTATTGAGCCAAGCACCACCAAGACAACTACTGTGCAGCCCAAGAGCTCAGTCACTGTTAGCAGCATCTCGATCAAGACAACTACCAAGAAGTCGACTACCACTTTGTCTTGCGTTCCTACTGGCAGCGCTCAGAACCTGGTCCGCCGAGGCGCCGTCATCCCCCGTGCCGTGGCTAGCACCACTACGCTCACCATCAGTACCACGGTCAGCAGCTACGTAGCAACAGCTACTGCAACTCAAGCAGGCTCGACTGCCCTAGTTACCGTATCTTCCATTGCCACTAAGACGACTTCTCTGAAGGCTAGCACCAGCACAATCACGGTTACTTCGGTGGTGAAGACCTCGACGATTGCGCAAGCAGGCTCCACCTACTATACAACTGTGCTGTCAACGGAGAAGGTGGGCAAGACGACGACCCTCAAGGCCTCGACGAGCACACTCTACTCAACTGAGCTCGTCACGAAGACAGTACTCTCTACTGTCACAGAACCAGCAGTTACCATTAGCTCTCTCAAGACGGCTTCGAAGACATCGACCATACTCGCGGCGCAAGAAACAGTCTATGTTACCAAGTCGAGCGATGTGACGTCCAAGACGACAATCACGCTACCGGTCTCTACGAGCACCAAGTTCGAGACGGTGACCTTGGGTGGAGGAGTGAAGACGGAGACTGTTAGTGGAACACCCAAGACGAAGACGGTAGTCGTGAAGAGCACGGCGACTGTGCTCAGTTGGGCGACGAAGACAGCCAAGGGTGCGGGGGCTTGCACAGCTTCGTAGTTGGAGCCGATGAGGGAAATTTGATTCTTGTACATATGTAGTGTTTAATGCCTAATGAAGCGATGGTTGAGTTTGAGAGGTGCGAAGAGAAGTGAGCTTTGTCGTGATGAGTAATCGGGCCCGGTGGTTGGGCGAAGCGGGCTAGTGCAAGCGAGGGGCGTCGAGGCGGGAGCGTCAGCCTTGTGCAGGCCGGGCCAGGGCCACGTTAGAGGTGCGTCATGGCAACAAAAGCCGCCGGAGTCGTCTCCTGCGACGGCGCGTGGGATGGCGGGGCGGGGGCCCAGCTCAACAGCTATGGATTTTACGCTTGTGCCCCTCGTTTGCGCATCCGCTCCCTTGGGCTATCTATCACAATCAACATCCAAGCTCTTTCCCATTGCACTCTACGCTTTTTTCCGACGTGTACACCGCTTACTGAGCAACGTCGCGAGCCATTGGCAGACAGCACAGCGGGCTTGCATCACTACACTATCTCGGTAAGCCGATGTCCCCCCATAGCACTTCCAAAAGCAACCTGGGCGGGTGGAGAAGCAAATATCGTATACAAAAGTGGGATTGACCGCTGTGCATGACCATTGAGCTGTTTCGTTTCGGTCTAGCCAGCCCACAAGGCTCCTCGGTCATTCAGAGACTAACACTCTACGTCAGGGTCCCCACCTCTTGTCCTGAACTCTCGTTCTCAGAAACACCGCCGTCTCTTTCGCGATAACACCAACAACCTCACCTAAACCACCCTCACAACCGCAATTATGGTGCTACTAGGCGCAAGGAAACCGCCCTCCCGCAGGGGTATGCTCGAGTCTTGTCATCGCACGCAAGGACAGATGGGATAACATTGTGCTAGGCTCCATGGCGGACATGCCCAAGGATCTGAAGGAGCAGATTGACAAGCTGGAAGACATGTTTGTCGTTCCCACAGACAAGCTCAAGAAGATTTCGGACCACTTCGTCGGCGAACTCGAGAAGGGCTTGTCGGAACAGGGCGGAAGCATTGTGAGTTGCAGCTCGCTATGCCCTCTCTCAGAAACGCGCTGACCCCCCATAGCCCATGATTCCCACCTGGTGTATGGCCTTCCCCGATGGCAACGAAACCGGCAGCTACCTCGCCCTCGACATGGGCGGTACCAACCTGCGTGTCTGCGAGGTTACCCTGACAGAAGAGAAGGGCGAGTTCGAGATCATACAATCAAAGTACCGCATGCCCGAAGAGTTGAAGACCGGAACCGCCGACGAGCTCTGGGGCTACGTCGCCGACTGTCTTCAGCAGTTCATCGAATACCACCACGAAAACGAGCAGCTCGACCATCTGCCCCTCGGTTTCACCTTTTCATACCCCGTCTCGCAAGACGCTATCGACCACGGAGTTCTCCAGCGGTGGACCAAGGGCTTCGATGTAGCCGGCATGGAGGGTGTTGACGTCGTACCAGGCTTCAAGGCCGCTCTCGAAGAGCGTGGTGTACCCATCAAGCTTGCCGCTCTGGTCAACGACACGACCGGTACCATGATCGCTTCCGCCTACACCAACACGAGCATCAAGATTGGCTGCATTTTCGGTACCGGTTGCAACGCCGCCTACATGGAGGAGTGTGGCGCCATCCCCAAGTTGAAGCACATGAACCTTGACCCCAAGCTGCCCATGGCCATCAACTGCGAGTGGGGAGCCTTTGACAACGAGCACCAGGTCCTCCCAAGGACAAAGTATGATGTCATTGTTGACAAGGAGTCACCACGACCTGGTCAGCAATCTTTCGAGAAGATGGTCGCTGGTTTGTACCTTGGCGAGATCTTCCGTTTGGTTCTACAGGATCTACACAAGGGTAACGAATGCCACATGTTCGAAGGCCAAAACGCTAGCAAGCTCGACAAGCCTTACTCGCTTGACGCAGGTTTCCTGTCTTCAATTGAGGAGGACAGATTCGAGAACTTGCAAGACACACACGATCTCTTCCAGGAGAAGCTCGGCCTCGATTGCACCAAGCCCGAACTCGAGCTCATCCGCCGCCTCGCCGAACTCATCGGTACGCGTGCTGCCCGTCTTACCGCATGCGGTGTCTCTGCCATCTGCAAGCACAAGAAGTGGGATGAAGTTCACGTCGGTGCTGATGGCTCTGTCTTCACAAAGTACCCACACTTCAAGGTCCGCCAAGCCCAGGCGCTCAAGGAGATTATGGGCTGGCCGAACAAGTACGGCAAGGGCAAGGGCGACCCTGTCGAGGTCCTCCCCGCTGAGGACGGCTCTGGTGTTGGTGCCGCCCTCATCGCCGCGCTTACTGTTAAGCGCGTGCAGCAGGGTCAGTTGGCTGGAATCAGAGACGCCGACACTCTTTTGTCCATGGTCCCAAAGAAGAAGTAGATGCCTGACGACAAGGGCAACTAGATATAACGCTTGACGTATGATTGAACGATAGAATGTATATACGAATGTCCTTCACCCAACGAATCATCTATCCCAAGGGAAGTGGAAGTGAACAATGTCTTTCGATACAGCGACAACATCATGAGGCATTCCCAGCGTTTGAGACATCGGACATCCCATCGATATCATAGCAAGGCATTCACTACGTCAGAGTGGGTCTAGATCTTGTACAAACGTGCACAGAGCCGAGGCAAAAGGTAAGCACACTCTGTCACGCTCCAAAGACCCAAGCACGTCGTCGCTGAAGCTCTACAACATTACTTCAAAAAGGCAAAAACATACAACAGCGGGAATTCGCTAGTGGTCACCCACCTAACTACTAATCCGCCGGTACACTGCTTGTATATGGCTGAGCGGACGGGAAGCCTAGCTTTCACTCATGCGACTGTCACAAAGTCCGTTAATTTTCCTGTATTCGGTATCCCCCTTTTCTGTTTGCGGTAAGCCTCTTTTCTGTATACAGACTATTAACACACATTCTAGTATTGGTGGCTTGCTCCGTGCGTTAGGGCGTAAGCGCTACTGTTAAAGCAGCGCTCTGGCGCTTAAGATTTTTGGACCCCGAACATGGAGTTGAGACAATCCCTGCAAGAACAAGATCAAGATCAAGGAGGCGCATACGTAGCTGAGTCGACTCTCTGTGTGCAGATGTACAGCTGGTGCAAGATTGTTAGAAGTCTGGATGAATAACACTCACTTCCCTCTGTCTATCGCGAGTCACGCGTAAGCTTGGCTCCATCGATACATGTCTCCGGTATTATCGTCACTCTTCATGCTGGTTTGATCCGCTTCCCCGTGGAGGTGGCAACAAGAACTGGTGAACACACCCTAGAGTTACAGGAGTAGGTTACCTGTTCGTAGTACTTGCGGCAGTGCTGATGAGAAGTCTGTTTCCCGAATTCTAAGTCTGTAAAGGTGCGGCAACGCCACACGACTGCAGCGCAAAGCATAACTACATATGTGAACAGAGAGAGAAGAGGAGACATACATCAAATACATGGATACAATGTGTACTACTCCAGATCTTGCCCCTAAGTCTGACTTCCCAGACCTCTCCTGTGCCTACGAATTCCAGCCATTGAAGGCGCAACTGCTCGAGGCTGACTTACATGATTTGTTCTCATTCATCTGGGCTCGCGATACTTATGGTTTCGATCATCCACGTTATCGCCTGCAAGTCGCTTTCAGTATTCTGTTGATCTTTCATTTGGGACTACATCCTAATGCTGCTCTCAAAGATGGACTCTATTACAAAGACACGAAGATCTTCCTTACCCGTCATGAAGATACTACTCGAGCCATGCTTGTCATCCGTCTGGATAACCAAGATGAGGATACGCGGCTATCTCGAAAGTGGAGCGGGTAATTATATAATAGTCTTTTGTGCTTCTAGTAAAGCTAACACTTCACAAAGAAGAACGATGGTCCTGATCGATGAGCCTACGAAACGCCACATGTGTCCCGTCACTTTGTTTCTTTCCATGGCTTTGGCAGATGGTGTCATCGACGGTGTGCATCAAATCAGTGATATAGAATTATTGTGTGCTGGTCGACAGTCTGGATGGCTACTTCTTAGTTACAAACAGGACGCATTACGTCTACCGGTACTTCGAAGAACTGGTAATAGAACCAGGGTAATCTCATCCTGTGGTATAAAGCCATCAATGCTTTACACCATGATACAAGCTCAGTTAGAACGAGCTGGTCATGGAGGGACCTTTGCGACTATACTTCGGGACATCAGGAATGCAACTCAGCGAGAAAAGCGGCGGAAGAGGGCAGCCGATTGCCTTGACGCCGAGACAGTCGTGGTCGGGCGTGGTCAAGCAAAACGCTTCTCAGCATTATTCGTCCCCGGAGTAGTCACGACCCAAGAGCCCAACACTTTTCACACACCCGCGAGCCTCAAATCGCCCTATCCCCTGCCGCATATCTTGGAGGTTCAACTCAAATATGATATCACTCGATCAGCGATAATATCTTATCTATACGGCTCATATGCCGTATACCACGCCATTCCCGACATACTGTGCCCTTTCATCAAAGCCGCCGAACCCGTCGCATATGAGCCGTATTATGCAGATGCGCTACCTAACGCATCAGGAGGCTGCCCGTGGTGTGATACGCAGCTAAAACGGTAAGCGCTGTGCCAGATTCATTTTCAACGAAGCTGATCTTGTCCAGAATTCCGATGAAAGCACATTTGCTAAAGTGTTCACAAAGGAACAAAAACCGCACCATGGAAGAAGAACTAACCCAGTTCCTGCAGGAAACACAATGGCGATGTTTGTGGGCTTCTTGCAGCAGTCCCGAAGTCCTCGACACTGTGGAAGTGGCAGCAAGCCATATGAGTAATCACGTCACCGCTGATGCGCTTTGCTGCCAATGGGGTCCCTGCAATCATAATGCAAGCAGCTTGGATGACTTTCACACACATCTTCTTGCCGAACATGGCGTCTTTACGCAAATGACGATACCAACACGCGCCAAATTCTGCATCCAGTGTGGAGTCTGGCTTTCTAGTGAGATAGATTGGCACAGACATGTAGTACAGCACTTTACAAATCCTGACATCATCTATGGATGTGTCACTGCGGAAGGCATTATAGCGGCACCTCGTCGGTGTCCATACTGCATGATACAGGGTCGTTTTGTACAGATGGAAAACGCGGGTCACTATGCTGAGCACATAGATGATCACATTAACAGACAGTACGATAAAGGCTGTAGGGAGTGTCCTCATTACTCCTGTACAGAACAGGATTTCAGCAAGAAGGGATTGAGAGACCATTTCAATACGACTCATGGAGTCGCACTTCCTTAGTCTCATGTATAGTAACAAGCGTGCACCAAACACATCCCCACATGTCAAAGCTCACGAGCTGCGTCGTCTTGAGCAGATCTGAAAATTTCAATGAAATCCTCTATTGAGACGCATTCGGACATGTGCTCCCACCACTTTTCCAAGCTATGTTCGGGGAAACTAGCAAGCCACGTGGAATACATATTTTGACTCCGTATCTATCTCTTAGCTTGACGTCTTTGTTGTAGCGCTCTTACTGCCTTTATAATACCACGATAAGCCGCAAGCCTGCATAACGTTGTCGTCTCGGGCATGACATACAGCGCTTAAGAACATGGCAGTGCAAGAGTGTGAGACCTACTAATACGCCGTCGTATGTATGGGATGCCCCTTGCGCTTTACCTTGCCAATCACTACTAAAGTTATCGCCTGCCTGTGCCCTCCCTTTGATGGTGACGTTGAGATATTGGTGGCTGAGCGCGACGCCGAAGCTCCGATAGCGGCCTAGCCAACGAGCAAGCACCTCATCAGTCAGTATCGATGCGCTCGAGGCTCTTAGCGTCCAGCAGTTAACGGTCACAGCTGCTCCTGCTCTATATGTCAGCGTCTACGCCTGCTCAGGAGTAGCGCGTTTCACCACTAATTATGTAACAGGAGGATATATATTCGTTCTCTACGATAGACTTACAGTAGAGGGACCTCGTTCGAAAGGAACTTTCTGTATAATCTAACTGTCTCTAGTGTAAGGACCAAAGCTGCAAGTTTAGTCATCGACACCACTCCAGCTGACATACTTCGACAAAGACTGAGGGCCTCAAGCCAGTATAAATAGCAGCGCTAGATCATATCATTTCATAACCGCTATGACAGACTTCTCATGAATCAAGTCGCGAACAATTGCTCCGCACTACCAAGATGTTAGAGGCAGGTTGGGCGACATTGGTAGTTTCACCCCTCTTCGACGCCATCGCCATCGGCGACTCTGACAAGAGACTCGTCGACGGAGTTAGAGGGGAGAACTAGTGTATGAAGATAAGGTTAATTGCTTTGTTCTTCGTAGCCACATTGCAATCTCTGCGAGCGGCAGTTCTTGCTTTCCTAGGAATTTCAAGTATTAGACTCCCAGTAATCTTCAATATCTCCAACGTCAGATATGGGGGTGGGATCACGAAGCTCTGGGAATGATTCCCGTATACAGTCTTTGAAGTCTTCCCGACCTCCCAGCCCCATTGCTTGCCATAAGCAAAATGCTACATGCCATCCCCCGTGCTTTCTTGGTTCGAACAAATCGAGCCGGGCAACGTCCAAAAATACTTCCTTGTCAGAGCGCTCATACCTCACCACAAGGTTGTCTTTCCATTGTGGAACCAGCTCACGGAAACCGTATACTTTGTCTTTCGGGTCCCTGCATCCGTGGTGTTGTGCGTATATCTCAATCACTTCATCGAGCATCGCGACATCACATCGCTCCGACAACTCTATGCTCATCCGATATTGAGCCTCTCCTCCCATATCCCAATCCACCACCTCCCTTCGTCGTCGGTGCCCGCGAATCGTCAGAATGGTGTAACATCCCCTCGTATGCGGTTTCAGCCTCTTATAAGTCGCTGTATCGAAGCCTTGCTCGAAGGAGCCCCAATCCAGGCTGAGTCCATAAATGTCGTCAAAATCAATGGATCTGTCTCCACAACAGACAACCACCACCTTTGCCAGGACGAGTTCTTGAACAATCCATACGCGGCGCCAGTAAGGCCGCATATACAAAGCACGAAGCCAATTGAATTCTTCATGCAATGTGTTATCGTCCAAATCGCTCCGTTCGGGTAAAGTGCCGGCTTTGTTCTCAAAGATGCGGTGGAATAGTTGCTGAAAGAAAGAAAGTCGTTCAGCAGCGTCAAAATCGGTTGGAAATGTGACTTCTTTCTTGCAATCCCGAAACTCCTGCAGAACATCAAAGATGCAGTTCATTCGACGATTTGCTTCTCCTAGCCAGGCATAGACTTTCGTGGCTCTGCTGTATATCTCCCCCATCATTGGCACTTGCTCTGACTTCTCGTTTTGATCATCTTGATTGATGCAGATAGCGTCGACCCAAAGAACTCTCGGTGCTTCTTTGGAACGCAAATACCTCAATGCGCATTCCAAATTTTTCGTTATAGGGTATAGTGTCCTGTCAAGAATCATAGACGAAGTATCATTGGTGTCTCCCCAGACGTATGATAAGGCTTCATAGGCGTGGTTAGCGCTAAGGGAAATGTGTTCAAGCTCGCCGTGAATGGGGTCGTTCAATAATCCTGGCTGAAGGGTTAGAAGACGGATTTGATCTTCAGTTAGGAGTTGATGAATTCCCTTGTCTGTTAAGAAATCCATGTTATGTCCCAGAAGAAGCTTCAGAGATGTTTTGGTTCTGGAACGTACGTGGAATTCCGGTCAAGGCAGATACCTGGTTCCATCTCGGGCGGGGTACGCCAAGAGATTCCGCCTGGATTTCGGGTGTTTAAGAGCGCTTGCCAAAAGCTCGCACGGCCACTCAGCCGCACAGCTACAAATTTACAGTCACAAAGCCACAAAGCTGTGAGCAGTGATAGATTACAGTCAGCCAGATGAACGGCTTGAATACATAAGCGCCGTAGCACATAGCAGAGCGGCGTAACAATCCACCCTTGTTTGTGGTGTATCTGATCGGTTAAAGTAAGGTCCGTCCCTGGGTGAAGAGACACACTGTGTCGCGAGACAGGTTCACGGTTCGGACGCACGGAGATGCGTCTTTTCGAACCTGCTAAGATATAGCTGACACACGATAGTTCTCTAGCTATTGTTCTCTAGGTCGACTTCCCTCCGAGACGGATCGCTGTGGTGTCAGCTAAGCTATTAGCTATTTCGTCAACGTCGTTAGTCAATTCTTGAGTAATTATCCCCTGTTCATTTGTGACGTTGGCTGCTCCTCAAGTATTCGGAGGTTCAAGGATCGAGCGCAATAGAGCAAGATAACATCTCCAGGGTTTGAGAGCTTTTTGACATCAGAGTGTGCATGCCGGCAGCCCCGTAGTGCGAAGCAGAAGATCTCTGGAAACAAGCCCGGGCTGGCGGAACGCGCTAGCATCGCTTAACGTGCATGAGCCTGCATTAGCGTTCTTATCGTCTGCTGTATTCTATCGTAAAGAATACGGCGCTATGCCAGTCCCGTATGCCTCTTAAAATAGGTGTAGCGCATGTTAATAGCTTTCTAAAAGCGCTTACGACCGCCCGGTTGTGCACGAGGATGCTCTGTTCCCTGCTTGAGTTTCAGGTCGCGATTAGGTAGGCGAAGATCGCGCGAACATAGCTTCTAGCACGATGCACATTAATAGCATTTCGTCATCCGCGTTAGAGCTGCTTGTTGGCGTCAGACTAATACCTCGCTTAAGATGTTCTGTGTTGTTCTTAACGCTATTGTCGCTGCATTGCGTTCCGAGCCCTACGATAGTTAGCGGCGCAGATTCTCTGTGGCCAGCGTGTCCTTGAACAAGCCAGCATTCGCTAGACAGACATCCTGATGTGCTCTTACAGCAAACGACGGTGCGTAACTCGCGCTTTTTACACTATCATGTCGCGTCTTTAGGCAATGACTGCTTCCCGGTTTGCAGCACGGTGGCTGTCGCGCGATCATGCGCTGTCAGCCTTGTCCAGCCAGCCTCACGTCACGGCGCAGGCGGGCTGCGCCTCCTGTCCTAGGTGCTGGAGATGCAGCCTGACCCAACAAGACAGTCAACCTCACCTCTACCTTAGCAAATCGTTACTTGGCATTCGAAACGACCTGATAGCTACGATCCCCTCGCCCTACGCGAGCGAGCCGCCGTGCGCCGTCGATTCCGTCAGCTTGCACCGAAGCGCTAAGACTCCTTCTACCGCTCGCACGTACGGACAGATACACAGCCCCGATGCGGTTGCTACACACTACAGACGATGGGAGACTTGGGTGGACTGAGGACTTGATCGGAGACAAGATTCCCCCATACGCGATCCTGTCGCACACTTGGAAGGAGGGGCAGGAGGTGACATTCGCCGATCTGAAAGATCTAGACAATGCAGTAGACGTCAACACACAACGCAAGGAAGGATATCGGAAGATCCGCTTCTGCGCGCAACAGGCTAAACGGGATGGTCTGGACTACTTCTGGGTCGACACCTGCTGCATCGATAAGGCAAACAACACGGAATTGTCGAGAGCGATCAACTCCATGTTCCGGTGGTACCGGAATGCCAAAAGATGTTATGTCTTCCTTTCAGACGTCGCGAGCGACACTTCAGAAAGCGATAGCAACTTGGCGTTGAAGCAGAGCAGGTGGTTTAAGCGGGGCTGGACGCTTCAGGAGCTTCTTGCTCCTCGCTCTGTTGAGTTCTTCTCTAAAGAGGGAGAGCGGCTAGGGGACAAGGAGTCGCTTCAGCACCTTATACACGAGGTTACAGACATACCTATCGAAGCTCTGTCCGGAAGCGACTTGTCCGAGTTCGACGTTGCCAAGCGTTTCTCGTGGGCAGCGGATCGACAGACAACAGAGGAAGAAGATGGAGCGTATTGTCTGTTCGGCATATTTGGTGTCCACCTACCGCTGATCTATGGCGAAGGCAAAGACAACGCCCTTGAACGGCTGAGAAGCGCGGCTATTCTGAAACATAAGGGCCGCAGTCAAGACCAAGAAGAGAAGCTTGGCAAGATACGCAGCTGGCTTTCGGCGCCTGACCCGTCTACCAACTACCACAAAGCGCACAAGCAGCGGCAGGCTAAGACAGGTCTCTGGCTGCTGGAAAGCGCAAAGTTCACAGACTGGAAGAAAAGAGCAGCGTCGCGACTGTGGCTGTACGGGATCCCAGGATGTGGAAAGACTATCCTGAGCTCTACTGTTGTTGAGAATCTGCTGCAATACTGCCATGATGACACTAGCATGGTGACAGCGTACTTCTACTTCGACTTCAACGACACACAGAAACAGGATCCAGAGCTGATGCTCCGCTCGTTGCTCTGCCAGCTCGTGCAGCGGTCGGTTGTGATACCGAAGGGCGTTGATGCGTTATTCTCATCTTGCGAGAACGGGCAACGGAAGCCATCGTCGCATGCGCTTTTACAAGTAACAAAGGAAGCGGCGCAAGAGTTCACGCACGTGTACGTCATTCTCGATGCTCTTGATGAGTGTACGCAGCGCTCGGAGCTGATGGACATGCTCGAAACGGTGGCCGGATGGCAACTGAACAACCTGCATCTACTCGTGACTAGCCGGAGAGAACGGGATATTGAGAGCTCCCTAGAGAGTTATGTTAGGAAAGAGGATGCTGTGTGTCTTCAGAGGGACGTAGTGGACCAAGACATACAGCGATACGTCCAACAAAGGCTGCGTGTCGACAGGGGCTTAGCGAAATGGAACAAGGACGCCGCTGTTAGGCAAGAGGTTGAGGCTGCACTAATGCACGGAGCTTGTGGGATGTACGTGCTTCTACCCAGTTCTTCACAGAGCTAGAGCTGACGATAGCGTAGGTTCCGATGGGCTGTGTGTCAGCTAGACACACTAGGAAAGTGTTGCAATCGAGCGATGCTGCGCAAATCACTTGCCACTCTGCCGCGGACGCTAGACCAGACATACGACCGCATTCTTACCGCGATAAGCGAGGAATATTCCGAGTATGCCATGCGCATTCTGCAGTGGCTGACGTTCTCTGCGCGGCCGCTATCCGTCGAAGAGGTCGCTGAAGTCGTCGCCATTGACATCACGCGCGACCCAGTGTTCGACCGTGATGAGGTGCTAGAAGATCCGCTAGAAGCGCTGAACATCTGCTCTAGTCTAGTCACTATCACAACGAACGAAGTGGACAGAAGATCGGGGTCTGCTCAACGGATCATTGCTCTGGCACACTACTCAGTGCAGGAGTACCTTGTGTCGGACAGAATCAGACAAGGGTCAGCAAAGCAGTACAGCATGCAAGAGACCAAATGTCAGAGTGCAATAACGAGAGGTTCTCTAAAGTACCTGATGCAGCTCCAGCAACCATTAGAAGAAGAGACTCTTCAGGAGTTTGCACTTGCAAGGTACTCAGCAGAGTTCTGGAGCAGCCATCTTCGAAAAACAGGAGACGAGATGGAGCAGATTAGTCAGTTAACTATTGGTTTGTTGGCCAGGGAAGAGCCTGCATATCTCAACTGGCTCCGGTTGCATGATCCGGACAGTCCTTGGAGGATATCAAATTTGGATGAAAGTCTTAATAGCATACCTATGCCGCTTTACTATGCAGCATTGTTAGGTTTTAGTAGAGTTACAAGACTGCTGCTCAACGCGGGCGCCAAGATTAACGCGCAGGGTGGACGCTACGGCAACGCACTGCAGGCAGCTTCACAAGGAGGCCACGAGCAGGTAGTCAAGACGCTGCTTAATGCGGGCGCCAAGGTCAACGCGCAGGGTGGAGGCTACGGCAACGCACTGCAGGCAGCTTCATACAGAGGCCACGAGCAGGTAGTTAAGACGCTGCTCAACGCAGGCGCCAAGGTCAACGCGCAGGGTAGAGGCTACGGTAACGCACTGCAGGCAGCTTCATACAAAGGCCACGAGCAGGTAGTCAAGATGCTGCTCTACAAGGGCGCCGACGTCAACGCGCAGGGTGGAGTCTTCGGCAACGCACTGCAGGTAGCTTCATACAAAGGCCACCAGCAGGTAGTCAAGACGCTGCTCGACGCAGGCGCTAAGGTTAACGCGCAAAGTAGAGACTACGGCAACGCACTATACGCAGCTTCATACGGAGGCTACGAGCAGGTAGTCAAGACGCTGCTCAACGCAGGCGCTAAGGTCAACGCGCAGGGTGGAGGCTACGGTAACGCACTGCAGGCAGCTTTAGAGGAAGGCCACGAGCAGGTAGTTAAAGCCCTGCTTGATCAGGGGGCCGACGTTAACGCGCAGGGTGGATACTACGGCAACGCACTGCAGGCAGCTTCATACAGAGGCTACGAGCAGGTAGTCAAGACGCTGCTTAACAAAGGTGCCAACGTTCACGCGCAGGGTAGAGTCTTCGGCAACGCACTGCAGGTAGCTTCATACAAAGGCCACGAGCAGGTAGTCAAGACGCTGCTCAACGCAGGCGCCAAGGTCAACGCGCAGGGTGGAGGCTACGGTAACGCACTGCAGGCAGCTTCATACAGAGGCCACGAGCAGGTAGTCAAGACGCTGCTCAACGCAGGCGCCAAGGTCAACGCGCAGGGTGGAGGCTACGGTAACGCACTATACGCAGCTTCAGAAGGAGGCCACGAGCAGATAGTCAAGACGCTGCTCGATGCGGGCGCCGAGGTCAACGCGCAGGGTGGATACTACGGCAACGCACTACAGGCAGCTTCAGAAGGAGGCCACGAGCAGGTAGTCAAGACGCTGCTTAATGCGGGCGCCAAGGTCAACGCGCAGGGTGGACACTACGGC